TGCGTAACCATATATTGGTAATTAGGTTGATGACGTGATATCTCGTAGTAGCGTGATCTACGACATTTTAACATTTAATGACAATCAAAAAGATATAACCTACGACTTACTCGCACTGCAGTCACTTTTGTGTGAGAAATAATGTCTTTAGAAAGGCCTAGCTCGTCTGCATAGCATTTCATATAGTGAGCAATTGCAACGGAGGGAAGTCTGTAACACAATGATATTGGATGGAAGAATTTGAGTTCGAAAAAACGATGAAAGAGTTAAAACGGCACAAAATGTTGGTAAATACAAAGCAAAAGAGAAAAACAATTCTAAGGAGAATGAGCAAAGCCTTATCAAGTAAATAGAAAACTTATGCATTATTGATCCAAATGCTTAGATTTGAATGATTGAACGTAGAAAAATCTAATAGTTCGTGAACACTTTCCGCAGCCAACCTTATGCACATATAGAATATATAAAGAGAAAGACGGAAAACTGACAATGATAAAAATTACATTAGAATCACCCAAGTATAGAAAGATGAGCAAGAAAAACATATGTAACTAAATCTATAAAAAATGATTTCGTTTGAATCTCTTCTGATGGTGTGAAAACTAGAAAATGATTACTTTCATGGACAGCCGACCTTAGCCGACAAAGCGAAAAATCAGTGGAAACTGACGCTGAGCAAACGAATCCTTTGTATATGCTTGTTACACAATTAAAGTAAGTAAACTTTACAGATTGTCTCATCGTTCATAACTCGAGCTCAAAATCATAGAATTATCATTGAGGTAGGAATTTTTCATTGCATTACCAGATAAACTAATTTCATCCTCACCAATTTACAATGAAAAGTGATGTTTAGAGCTTTCGGAAACTTATTCTGATCGATTACACGACTCACAGCGCGAACATCATGATCATTTCACGCAAATAAGCTCTACGATGACAACATATAACAAAATGAAAGAATAGCGTCGAGGTATAAAACACTTTTAGTTACACTGAGTCACGATTCACAAAGTGGCTGATCCGGTCAGAAACAAAGCCCTTTGACCATTATCTCAAACTATGAAAATTAAAGAAGCTAGAGGTCACTTCAAAACCCGAGCTACATAAAATCAGACTTCTTACAGTTGGTGATTTCAGCAATTACGGAAAGCCAAGATTTGAGTTACCTCGGGATCAATGGGGTTCCCTGGAGCCAATCCGAAATGGAGAACCCAGGCAGATCTAACCAAGACGCATACGAAACAGCCAGCATCTGAACATTGGTTGGGCGTCAAAAAAAGTTTGAGGATATAGAGTACTAGTAATTTCAAAGGGAGACGCACCTCCGGATCATATGTATTCCAGCTACCACCGACCGATGTCTCTCCCAAAACAAGGTGCGATATATGTCTTGAAGGATCGGACTGCCACACTAATCTGGATGGTATCTGCGCTCCAAGATCTGCACCAGGTCGAACCAATGAATCGTAGAGAACAGAGAGCGGACGAGTCGATCCTCCAAGCGACTCCAACGACTCGCACCATTTCAAATTCTGCAGAAAGTTTCAAAAACTACTTTTACAACGAAAACGAATTATCTGGGAGGCATACGTAAGGCATTTATAGAGAAAATTATAAATATATGCATGTTTTGTCAAGAAGAAAATCAGTCCTAATATTAGGCAAACAAATATATAGTACAAAAAGATATAATCAATTCCAAAGCAGATGTTCAGAAGAA